GGAACTTACCAATGTGACTTTCTTCGTATTATATCTACTTTTTAAGATTATTCAGACACCACTGAAAAACGGTGAAAGAAAGCATCGTGTGGAAACCTGAGGTTATACTTTCTAATTTTAAGTTTGAAATCGCCAACCCTCAATGGACAAGCGAGGTGATTAATGGTCGAATCTTCTTCGTGTGAGAAGAGGCTTTGGTCAGCAGTAGGCACTATATATACACACTATATAACGTATAGACTGTTGATGTTTGGTGTATGCATTCGTTAAATGACGATAGGTAGATTTGTCGTTACCACTTCGTGGACAGTTTTATTGTTTCTACGCAAGTTTGTAAGCCGCCTAATTACGTTTGAAATTTTGAAGAATGCATGAATCCGTCAATTGACGCGTTTTGGACAGTAGACCTTAGACAACAACTAACCAAGAATAAACCTCGCGATTAACAGCCGCGAACACAATCATGAAACCAAGGTGCCAACGAGGAAGACGCAACAATAACCCACAACCTTGATACAGTCCACTTCAATAACTAAGAGTTAAAACATTATCGGAAAAAAATTCCGCAGTAAGTTAACAGATAACTAAAAGATTGCGTAACTCGTAGTATTCAGTGTTTCAGTATTATTGCCGGTTATTTACCAAACACGATGTAAACATTCACGCATGCGCGGTTCGAGGAAACGCAAGCGCAGAAATGCATAACCACGCATTTGGCGCGCGCCAGCGCACCTAATTCGATGTTTACTTTTACAAATTTTGGAAGCCTTGGCTTTTCAGAAAATAGGATTCTATTTCAGTATTTAAGTGAAATTATTTTGCAAGAAATGCGGTGAGAAAAGACTAGTTTTTGAGAAAAAAGGACTCGATGGGAGAATAATCGATTTCGTCAAAATGTTAATATAGTATTCTAGTAAACTGCAAACTGCTTCGTTAGCGGTCCCGTAGAATCTAAAAAGTAGCCTATGTTTTTCCAGAGCATATGCCCCCGTTTCGCCGTGATTGAATAACAAACAAACACACGAACTCACATTTATAATATTAGTAAGATAATAATACGAATGACTTTAATGGATAAAAGTCTTTATTAGGTTATAGATCTTTATCAGATTCGTCAAAAAATGTTTTGGTCAAAGTCATTTATTTCAATTAGACCAAAAGTGCACCTTTGAATGTCAACGAAAAATTCAAAGTGAAGCAATTTGCTCATTCCAAGGTGTAGATGCCTATGGAGGCGAACGAGCAAGAAACTCCATAGGTTACTCTTTTTCAATCAGGTTCACAATATAATTCTCTAGTTACATAGTTTTGTTGGTTCGATTGTGCGAGAACAATGTAACACCACTGTAATTTCAGTCAAAGAGATCGAAGTAGGTACGATAGGTATTTAGGTAATAGTCTTAATAAGGAAGGTCAGTTTTATCAAACAACATACATAAATAATGTAGAGGAGAACTCGGTAAAATCGCGAAAGGAGTACTTCCCAATATTTTATCTCCCCGATCTACCTCTTCACCTTGGCAGCATTATCGAAGTTTCCAAGTTAAAGGTATGATAACAATATCGATCGTCATAAATGGACTTAGCCCTGATTAGAACACACATTTGTTGATTTCGTGTAACACCCAAAAGAATTTAAAATTGTGAATGAAAAGTAAACTTTGCGGTTTTAAAGATAAGGTCGATATTAATGTTATTATTGGTTTAGAATATGGGTTATTTTGGATTATAGTAGTGTGATTTGTTTTACATTTTTACGGTATGACACCCAAAAGTTTTAATAATGAATGAAAATTAAACTTTAGTGTTTGGAGAATAAAGTCGCTATTAATGTTATTTATTATTGGTTTCGTATATTGGCCAATTTGGAATGAAGTAGTGAAGTTTGTTTTACAATTTGGCACCCAAAAGTTGTAAAATTATGAATGAATATTAAACTGTATTGTTTGAAAAATAAAGTCGGTATTACTGTTATTATTGCTTTCGGATATGGGTTATTTTGGAATGAGTATTGTTACTAGATGTCAACATCACCGAGTGGTCGCAAGTGCGACTGCCGGGCAAGGGGTGTCGGGTTCGATTCCCGGGTCGGACAAAGTATTACTGGGGTTTTAAAAATTCTTAGTAGCAGCGGAGTCTGGAATTGGGCCCGGTATATGGCAATAGGCTCACCCCCTATTACATGGGACTCATAACATAAATAGTGAAAAGTGGGTGTTACATTGTACAGTGGCATAATGTACACCTCTGCCTACCCCTTCGGGGATAAAAGGCGTGATGTTATGTTATGTCAACATCAAGGAGAGGTATATATATAGTGTAGTTAGGTGGGGCTGTGTGTTTCTACTTATCAGTATTGGAAAAAGCTAAAGTTTGTATGTTTTGTGTGAAACTACGGCTATATTTGAATATAGATACTAGACTTATTACGAAACAACTGCCTTAAGTTTCTTGAGATATGTTAAACAATTGTTTTGCAAGTTTATCTACAATTTCTATATTTGACTATTATAGAGGTAATTGTTAGGTAAATTCAAACTCAAAAGCATTTATATCAATTATAATTTGATACTTTTGAAACGTCAACAAATATAAAATAAATAATAGTCTGTCAGTCTGTTCGTCAGTGAAGCTAGGCGCTCGTTCCAAAATGTAGATTTGAGTGGAGAAAAAGATCGAGCCAGAAACTCCATTCATTACTCTTTTAAAAAAGTATTTTTTACTATTATACTGTACTGTTTTAGTGTTATTATATCACAATCTCATCTCCCGAGCTATAAAGTATCTCCATACAATATTTTATCATTATAGACCCAGCACTTTCGGAGTAAAAGCGTTAAATACACACGAACAAGCAAACAAACAAGCCTATAGATTGTACCTAGCATAAATATCATCGTTTTAACGACCTCCTACCATCTTGTACCTTCAATATTATTAAC